CTAAGACTACAAAGTCATTGAATCTAGCCTCAAAAACTAGAGCTCAAAGTCGATTCAAGATTTTTTATCGATTTTGTATGGGGGAGTTGACTCTCTCTCGACTCAACCTCTATGCAAAATCATATCGACTTCGAGCTCTGTACCGAAACTAAGTTAGCTCAGAAAATTCCGCCCAGTCATCCAAACTGTAACCGATACCCCGCCATGCGACTCACAATGAATGCACAAAACAATAAGAAGAGAGCGAAAGAGCACCTAATCATCGTCTCGTTATAGCCTCATTTATGTACTGTGAAAATAATGTAATACTTCAGGTCAGCTGGCGCCCAATGTTGATTCCATCGAAATTCCTTCCTTCTTCTCCCGAGTGGCAAATTATACTTCTCATTTCTATATATACATATATAAAGTTCTTATTTTTTTTTCGGGATGAATTATTATTGTTTGAAGAAACAACACGTTAAACATATAATTATGATATAACTTTCAACCGAAAAAAAAGAACTATATAGGAGAGGAGAACCTTTATTTTATGAGGAGAATGAAGAATGAAATTGAAAGAATAATAATAATATGAGAAGAAAAAGAATAAGAAATATAACATCAGTCGAGCGTTAACAAGAAAACCATTCAGAAAAACATACAAACAGCACCACGAAACATAAAATTGAATAATCATGAGGAAGATTAATTTTGCGCGGAGAGCGAGAGCGAGAGAAATTTATGAAAAGAATAAACATACATAACAATCGTTTATAGGATGAATGATGAAAATATTATTGAGACCCACATTAAGAATAAGGAAGAAACACGATTAAAGGCTTTTTATTACTTTTGCTCAATAATATTAAATAGATTTAATTCGATATTTTACTTTGTATTCGATTATGAGCATTTTGCTTGCAAGTTCTGGAACTTAATTTGTAGTAATTTGTGGATGTGATGATTATTTGATATGGAAGCATGCTATTCGGATTATTTTTAAAATGGCTGAGCTGCCTCATTTTGGATGTGTGAATTATTTTCATAGGTCATATTGTGTAATGGATTGCATAGTGTGACATTTTAAGGGGCTACGTCTGACTTAGTATGAAGAGTGTGATTTGAGATAGAATTTACTGTTTAAAAATATTTTAAGGTATAGTGGTTAGATAAGAGGTTTTAATTTCGAAAAAGGGGTGTAAAACTAAGCTAAGGGATGTTAAACTAAGCTAAGGGGTGTCAAACTAAGCTAAAAGAATGTCAAACTAAGCTGAGAGGTGTCAAACTAAGCTAAGAAGGTGTCAAACTAAGCTAAGGGATGTTAAACTAAGAGAACCTTAAATCTTGAAAATGTCAATCACCATTCAATAAATTATCAATCCACTTTCCAAACCGCCAACGAAAAATAAACAAAACAAAGTTTAAATTAATTCACAAAAATCACTGAGAGACTAATAAACCTTTCAGCCGTGCCTATAAAATTTCAATATTCGACATCAGCATCAACACAGCCTCTGTCATAAATACGTCCAAAATATTGCGTTTTTCGAGCAAATTAAATTAGTTCTTCCTTCTGTTGCACTCAATTCACTTTTCTGCATAAAATTTGCAGCCTTAACTTTTTTGTGTTTTTTTTTTCCTTTCTTTTATGTGCTCAGCAACACACAAGACAGATCATAAGTTGAACGCAAGAAGAAAATATTGTTATCCGCTTTTCATAATTTTTCCTTCTTCTTATTCCTGACTGCTTGTGTACATAAGAACATTGTGGGGCAATAGTAAGGCGCCACAGTGCCAAAAGTAATTGCCAAGACACGTTTCACGAAACAGAATGAGAAATTATTCGCTGCATGATGATGATGATGATCATCGTCGTATGCACATGAAGAAAAAGGGCAATTGAAAAATTTTACTTTCACGTTTCTTGGCTCTTCTCCTTTAATGCCATAAAATTGATGGTAAAATAACTTTATTATTGTAGGACAGAAAATGAATTTAATAACTGAGCAGGATAGAATCAATTTTTTTTTTATAATTTTAGAGATAGAAAATTATGATTATTATAAAATAGATAGAATTAAATGACAATCATCGTTTCTGACATTGGAAATTAATGTTGAACGCACGAGCTGTAATCGCCATTAATATCTATGAAATTTATATGTCTCTATGTGTTGTTACAGACATAATTTTTTGCACGCTATGCACTATGGGGATTCGTTTAAATTGACGTCGATTCTAATATTATTTACAAGCTGGATAGAGAGAGAAATAAAATTGCTTTGTACGCATTGCGTGTTAAAATAATCAGAAAAGGTAGACTCATATTCATAATATTAAAAGAATAAGCTACATTTATGTATGTGTTCTAATTCTATAATTTACGGTTTTGGTCACTTCTTTTGTGTTTCTAAAATTAATCAACAATTTTTTCATTTAACGATTTTTTGAATTTGAAAATTTTGATGCGATAACTGATGCAAAAATTGAAACTTTTGATGCGATAAATGATGCAAAATTTGAAAATTTTGATGCGATAAATGATGCAAAGTTTGAAAATTTTGATGCGATAAATGATGCAAAATTTGAAAATTTTGATACGATAAATTATTATTATTATTATTATTATTATTATTATTATTATTATTATTATTATTATTATTATTATTATTATTATTATTATTATTATTATTATTATTTATTTATTTATTACTCGCAAGGAAAAGCCATGTAAAAAGTATTTAAACTATTTCAGATGGCATAAAAACCTTACTTAACCTTAATAAATGATGCAAAGGTTGAAAATTTTGATGCGATAAATGATGCAAAGTTTGAAATTTTGATGCAACACATGCAAAATTGTGATATTTTTATTAGAAAAGTGATGCAAACGTTTGAATTTTGTCGTTATTAAGAGATGCAAAAGTTAAAAATTGATGCAAAAAAGATGCGGCGCTTAAATGTAAATGTTTCGCTCATTTATCATTTAAAACTAGTCCAAAAATTATTCAAAAATATTAAAAAGTTCTAATAGAACTGTTAATATCACGTCAAACTTGCAGAGAACTCATCCTATTTAATATATTATGCCATCCTTGTAAAAGTACACACACAACAACACTCATTTGTGCCATCTGCTCATGATTATATCGAGATTACCCAACAAACCATCCAACTAGGCGGGCAGAGTCGATCGTTGAGTTCTGTTTTTTTATTATTTCACTTTTTTTATTTATTTTATGAAAGGCCAATTTTGAAACAAATTGTTGTCTTCAACAGTTGAAATATCTGTTTTTTATTTTGTTCTTTTCCCTTGTTCTTGATATAATTTTTTTTTATTATCTTAACATTTTTTAAGGCAGCAAAACAACAGTGAGAAACATGGGAGAGAAGAATAGAACAAAACGAAATGAATGAATAATTAATTGATTGATTTTTTTTTTCCTTTTTTTTTCTTCATTTCGCCACATATGTTAGTCCCCCCATCGTCGTATGTATCTATTTATGTTTATTTAGAAATTAGCTTCTGATCATTTCTTTATTGCTGGCTATATACAAGAACCTTGTTTTCCATATGAATGAATGAATAAATGCGTAATAAGCAATTACACCTGTCGAATTGAATATTTTTCTCTCTCGTCTCGTTTCGTTCGTATTGTCGTGACGTCGAACAAGTCAAAATTATTATTTTTTTATATTCTTTCCTTGGACAGTCTCATAGAAGCAATCAATCTTAATAAAATTAAAATTTTTGACATGAACACACGATGAATGAATGTATCAATCTTTTCTTATTTGTCGTGTTGTTATCAGAGAGCAATTTGATGTATTTTTTCATGTCTCAAATTTATCAAATTGATAATTTATTGACCCTTGTGCTTGTTGATCGCCAAGTCATTAAAGGAGAAATGGAAATGACATCAAAATGACATTGATTTGCTGTTTCTTAAACGTGTCTTAGATAACGTGTGAATAACATTTATGAGATCTTTTTTAATTCTTCTAAAACGTGCCAACTTGTTTGTGTAGCTGTTCTTTATGCAAATTCTAATAACTCATTTTCTCACTCATTGATTTTTATATTAAGTGAATGGATTTGAAGTTGGTTCGCGGTGATTTTCAAGGTGTGGGAATTCTTGGCGTGGAAATTGAAGTTGATTTTAATAATGTGGGCTGGTCGGTGGATTAAATTTATAGCTATTAGACTTAGTTCTGTCTATTTTAATCAAATGTGCACCCATTGTGCACAATTATATCATCATTTTGCCAACAAGAGCTGGAATGACTTGGGATTGCAGTAGTTTACTGTTGCAGGATTTGGACATTACTAAGCATTAGCTTGCAATCTGAAATGTTGTCGAAGAAGTGGTTCGAATCCCATCAAACATTTAAAATCCTAATGTAGTGCCACGATTCATCAACATTGCTTTGATTCCTCTAGCAAGTCATACTTCTAACTTATGTTATTGTCAAATCATTCTCAATTTCACAATCATTACAGTTTCTCACTGTCCAAAAACAACGATTGTGTCAAATATTACACAAGCATCACCGAGAAAAAAACAAAAATTTTGTAACTTCATCAAGCCTATGTCTTATAGGTCACTCAATTCCAAACTTAACAGCTCTCAATAGATTATTTACAATAAACTAACGCCACATACATTCATGATGAGTGTTGAAAAAAGGTCAATTTAGAGATTAATATTTATGACTATATTTCTTATCACGTCTTCTTTCCAACTCGTTAGGATTACATTGACTGATTGTCACTTATGAATTGAGAATGAATAAAATAAATTATTATAATTTATGATAAGGCGGGCACATCTCAAATGCGACACATGCTGATTATGTCAATCATCTCGTCAACCTCGTCAGTAGAGAAATTTGCTGATCATGTCTAGATGTTAACATTAATGAGCTCTAAAAATGAATCTTGATGCGCAAAACCTTATTATATTGACATTAACGCAATTATCTTATAATAATGATTTCTTTTTACATTTTATTTACAGTCAAATGTTTCCACAAATGAAGTTTCGTGTATCAGGTTTAGACAATAAGTCGAAATATATTTTACTATTAGACATTGTAGCTGCGGACGATTATCGGTACAAATTTCACAACAGGTAAGACATTTTTTGTCAAATTATCATTAATTAAGGGCCAATTGTGTAGCTTGGGAGTCTTCAACCACTTCTCTAGACACAGTTCTATTAGGTATATTCTCTGTGACTAGTCCAAACTCATCAAGGGGGTCAAGCCCTACTCCCTCGACGAAAAATTCCCTTTCACATTAAAAATTAACAGAAAAAATTTTCATTCCAACAGTCGATGGATGGTGGCAGGTAAAGCAGACCCTGAGATGCCCAAGCGAATGTATATTCATCCCGATTCACCATCAACCGGCGAGCAGTGGATGCAAAAAGTTGTCTCATTTCATAAACTAAAATTAACAAACAATATAAGTGATAAACATGGATTTGTGAGTATTACAAGCAATTTACTACTTTTTTTTTGGTCGAAACTTTTTCGCACATCCTTTCATAAGACTTTGCCAATTACATAATTCAATTAATATTTCTTTGTGAAACACAAAAAAAAACTCATAATTTTATAAATTTATATTTTTAAAAACACAAGTCGATAGGAAAACGTGTCTTAGTTAATAGCTTGAACGTCGCAAATTTAATTAAGTTTTCTAAAATCTTTGTTGAATAATGTGTTGTAACTGATAATTGAAGGCGGTTTTAAATGGCATTGTCGTAATTTATTGACTATGAATATTTATGTTTCGAGCTGATGTAATTAGTTTTTGAGGCTTATCAGGGAAACGTTTTTCTTTGATGATCTGAAAAAGTGGGGATTTTGGAGGTTTTGATTTTTAAATTAACTATGGAGTTGAAGTTTTTAAAAGTTCCAATGCTGACAGTCTCTTGCCACTTTTTTGAATGAAAAAAGCTTGAAACTTTAATAAAATATGTTAAATTTGGAGTTTAAAACAGAAAATACTTTTCGAGATGGAGAAAAATTTTGAATTTCAACAAGCCGTTACAAAATATATCAAAAGAGCCTTGTACTGTAAAGATTTTACTGTGAATCAATCTTTGCTACTTTTTTAAGCATCATTTACCAGAAATTATTTCAAAAATATTAAAGAAGACATAATAAAACACAAAAAACTTTTCGAAGTGAAGCAAAAAATTCAAATCTTAAAAAGTCGTTAAAAGTTTCATTGTTTTAAAACCAATTTCGAATCTAATACATCAGCTCTCTCAAGTACGATGTAGACATAAAATTAAATCCATAAAAAACGTAACCGTCCAAAAAGCTTAAAATTGTATTAAAAAAGAAATAACGACTTTCCTAATCAGAACATCGTATATAAAACGTGATCCCAATTAAAAAACCTCATTTCATATCATCAAGTGCAATGATTTAATAAACTGACAATTCAAAGTTATTCAAAACAGAGAAAAACACAAAAGGCATTCCGTTCTATAAATATCAATCGTCCATAACTAATATGCAAGTGATGATTAGAATACAATATGTCAAAAATAAAAAATAAATAAATAAATAAAAAATTCAAAACAATTTATTTTATTTTCATTCCCTTTGAAATGTTATTGATAAGCTATGGGAATCGTCATCACAAGCCTTAGTTACTGATAACAGAATTTAAAATCTCTAAATAATTTATGAATAAAATTAAACAGACTAAATGCCGACAGTGGGCTATGGATGAGAGACTTTTTATTCGTTGAAAATATGAATGAAAATATATAATTTTTTTGGTGAGGCAAGTCATATCATGTAAATATGTGACAAACTCAAAACACTTTGAATTGAGGGCTAGAAAATAAAATATTTTTGTTGATAATGTCGCTTCCTTTTCGCTAAAAAAAAAACAGGCAGCATCAAAGACAGAAAATGTTAATCTAAATTGTGATTTTATTAACTTCTTTTTCTTTTAACTTAATTGATGAAAGATTTTCATAATTTAACGCATAAAAAAATTTAATGGCATGGAAAGCCTCACATTGAGCGGCTCGCGGTAGCTCTTTTAAAGGCTTTTTTTTTATTCTTTACTATATTATTTCATTATGTCACCCATCAAATATTGAGTTTAAAAACACAAGAAATAATAATAATATTATATACATAGGTAGAGTTTCTCATTTCGATCATTGTGAATGTTAGTGAAAATGGTATTTCGATATTTCTTCTTACTTTCCTCTCAACAACGTCGACGACGACGATCTCGCACACATCAAAGCCTTCTTTCATCACTGTTTTGCTTCATTTCTGTACTTCAACAATTTTATTTTTTCGGGCGGTAAAGTTGAAAGACTTCATAATCTTTTTTTATTAATATAATCTTTTTTACTGTTCTGCTTATGAGGTGATCATTGCTTTTGTCTCAATACCAGAAGATCACTTCACTTAATCGCTGCTATATGTGTGTATATATTAATATATAGACTTTTATTTTCAACATACATATTCCACGGTTAAGTTCAAATAAAAAGGAATTTTATTATATTGAGGAAGAATGGATGAATGGCAAAGTTATGGACTGAGATTCGATGGGAACTTTTTTTTCTAGGACGCAAAAATATTATTTTATTATTTGTGAAGGTTTTTTGTTGAGGATTTAATTTAATTTGCTTACACCTTAGTATGGTTGGGTTGTTAATTAGTTTTGGAAAGACTTCCAAGGTGGTCCGAAATATTATTTGCAATTTTATTGATCATTTGAAATTTATGATTTATTTAATGTTGCTTATTAATTATCAATGCTTAAAAAATACAGGATATTAGATTGATGATTTGAATTTTAATGTTATTTTGATGAGGTCGGGTTTGCTTTAGGATCAGGGGACATGCATTGATAGCTCAAGCCTTTGCTTAGTGCCAGATTAGGTAAACTTAAGCCTTACATCTTAGTTTATACCAGAAATTGCTATTGTGTTTGTAATTAATCTAAAAGTATTACATGACATGTATTAGATGTGCCTTAATTTTTCTTTAATAGTAATCTATGGTAATAAATCACATTACAGAGTATTTTGACTCCTTTCTTCATTTTGAACGAGTCGAACGGCTTTTCCAGAACCGCCATTTCTGCAAAATACTAATCAGATTTATTTATACAACATCCTCCTTAATATGATTAGACTCAAAATAAAGTTGTAAAAAAATATACCATGCTCAATTGAAGATTAAATGATGTTGGGGAATTTTCGTGTGGATTTCCCATATTCAAAACAAATTCCACAAAGATTTAAAATAATCATCCTATTTATAGTAAGTGTTGACATATTCGAGCACTTTACTACTCAATCTTGCCTTAAACATGAGGACATGGATTAAATCTTTTCAATTACTCTCAATTTCCGATACTACTTAATTATCTTACTTACTAGTTTGACGAAGGCACACGGACTGCGTTTAGATCTTCTTTATCTTAGTGACATGGTTTCTTGCAAAATATCTTCGAGGACTTAACCATAAACTTTTTGAAACAATCATAAACTATAAGATCCTATATCTTATTGATCAATATTCCGGATTAGTAGCATAGCCGGTTCCTTACAATATTATTGATGCTCCACCCACCAAATCAATCTAATTTTACTCTATTCGAGTAATTTTTCCTCATTACTGCCTTAAGACTTGATCAATTTTAAAGTCAACACCATAATAAATAAGAATCCCAATAAAATTTTCATTCATAGACAAGATTCTTATACGAATCTGAAAAATTGATTTACAACTTTTCTCTAAAAAGCCACGAGATTCTCACCCACATCACCAGCCAGCATTTCATAATTACATCATAATTAATTAATGCTCTAAGCTACTTCAGCCTTGGATATGTCCAATGATTATCATATTGATAAATTACTCTACATGCAGACAGCTAGTCAATTTACCTTTAATAATCCATCAAAATCCAAATACTTGACGAGAAACAAAATAATGTATTCCAGCACATACGTACACACAATAATGCTCGCATCGCAGTTTAAATAAAGCAGAAGCGCAGAATCACGAAATAATTTATAAAAATCTTTTTTTTCTTCTCTTCTTCTCCGAATGAGCAGTCACAGAGGAGTAAAAAAATAATATTAATATTGATCTCCGGCATGTTTGAACTAGAAGACTATTATCTGGATATTTGTTTTCAACAAATATTATTAGAGTTTTAGAGCTTCTCCTCTTTATAAATAATAAAAATTGATTTTTCTCATCACTTACGCGCTCACTTAGCTTTACTTTACTTCTTTTTTTATTTTGTACCATCCGAATGACAATGACTTGAAATATATCATCAAACTCTTAAGATTGATTTGTTTGCATTTCAATAATCGATGAGTGAAACGCAAAATGTAATCAGAAGAAGGAAAAAATAGTACGATTTGAAATGTTGATGATGATAATAACAATAATGAGTAATGTGTACAGATTTGAAGATCTTTAAACAGTTAACTGAACTATGAAATCATCATAAAAAGACATCATCATCATCAGTATCATTAATGTTGAAGATTTATAGACAATAATTTTTAATTTTAAGTGAGAAAACAGGTTAAAGATATTAGTCATCGAGAGTGGCTTTTTGGTGCAAGCTTTTTGCATTTGATGAGTTAGATTTGTGTCGGTTTGGAAGATTTTCATGAGAAGCAATGGATAAAGTTCTATAAAATTAGAAATTTAATAATTTTAAGACCACGTGGTCAATGAAGAAAAGTGTTTGTTAAAATTATCACAAACTAAAAGCCAAATCATTTTCAAGTTGATTCATTTCAAGTCTTGCCATTTTTTTCTACAATTTGGAATTGTATTTGCCATAATATTTTGCAGCATTCTCGATTACTAGTCAAAAAACTTTTTGAAGTGAAGAAAATCTGCCATTTTGAAATTCTAAAATCATAAAAATGTAATCTTTAAGAAAATAATAAGAAAGATTAGAATGTAATCACAGAGTAATAAATGCGCCACAATTTTTCAATCATAAATCAGGCCTTATAAAACATTTTTTAATAGTTTTGTTGTTGGGAATGAGAAAAATAATTTTGTTGACAAATGATTGATATGATAATTAAATCGATACTAGACTATTAAATATAATTATCACAATTTCTCTCATTCTTCACCCATTCTTTTTATAGCAATTATCCATTCTTTTGACTATTATCCCTTAAAAAACATTTGCTCCTATTTTGTCTTTTGTAAAGGAATTAGCTATTATGAATAGAGCTATCTTGTCTTCTCCTTCTCCCATTCTCTCTCTGTTCTCGAATCGTTTTTATCCTTATTAAGCCTACCAACATGAAAATTATAATTTTTTTTCTATTATTCCCTTTTTTTCTCTATCTTAAATCTAAATTGATTATACCTACATGTTTAATGTTTCGTATAAACATCTTTTCCTTTCATTTCATTGTGTTGGCTCTGTATATCCATTGCACTTAAATA